CAGATTTGTTCATTTTGTGATGATATCTTTAATTCTCTAATTTTGGTGAATATTTTTGTAATTTTTGGTAAAAAGTGTTATTTTCGACTTCTTGTTAAAAACCAATAGTTCAATTGCTTTGATATTACATATATAGATACTACATGTAGACCTTTCTCAGATTTGTTCATTTTTGGTAAAAAGTGATATTTTCGACTTCTTGTTAAAAACTGTAAGTCTGATTGCTTTGATATTACATATATAGGTACTACATGTGGACCTCTCTCTCTCAGATTTGTTCATTTTGTAATGATATCTTCAATTCTCTAATTTTGGTGAATATTTTTGTAATTTTTGGTAGAAAGTGATATTTTCGACTTCTTGTTAAAAACTGTAAGTCTGATTGCTTTGATACTATACATATTGTTCATTTTCTAATGATGTCTTCAGTTCTTTAATTGAAATGTGCATTGCTAACAGCGGAGCTATCTCAGCCGACAGGCTGCTTGTTTAATTTCTCGAGAAATTAATTCTGTGAAGTTTTGTAGCAGCAAAAAATGGTTTGAAAATACTCTCTCAAAATGTTGTCTCCAGCACAAGCAACAGAATTAAACTATCCATAAAACTTGTTTATAGACGAACATGTTCAAAAGTATTCCTGATAAACTGGAACTTGTTGTGAACATTTTTCTTATTTGGAAAATAAGCGTCACATTTGAACACTGTTTACATTGCACACCTTTACTAACTTTCCTGAATGTAAATCATGGCGCAAGCATGAATCATGTAAATTTCTTCTGGAATTTCATGGTTGTTATATCTAACTAAATCACTACTACAAGTGAGTATAGATGTATAATAATAAGGTTATCGTGCATACTTTGAGGTAACTTTGTAATAGTCTTATTATTATACATCTTTTCCTTCCAAGGACACATCATGGGAACGCCGTAATCCAAAAAGTTTAGAACAGAATCAGCGAACTTCTTTGTATGGAGTCTGGTGAAACCCTGGTGGAAGCCATGTTTG